CTGTGGGATGAACGTGTGCTGCACAACGAATAAAACACTAATGAGAACGTTCAAGCTGAATATTAAAGAAAGAGACAGGAAGGCATGTGACTATGGAAACAGTCAGTGATTTTACAGACACCAGTTAATATGTAACACACACACACACACACACTGGGTTAGACGAACGGGCACCTTGAAAACATGTGCGTAGTTAAAAGGAAGTGAAGTAATCAGACTTCTCATTTCTTTTCTGCTTGACGCTTGCAGCTCGAGGACACGACTCGCACAACTACAAGTCAACAACTAATACTTCGACTGGTGTAGGCACCTGAACCTCAAATGGAACAGTCAAGTTGCATTATGGGTATTGTAGGCACCAGGTTTTGACAAGGAAGTGTGAGAGAAAAAAGATATGTGGTCATATCTGCTGCATGGATTTACATGAGAATGTATAAAAGCACATTGAAGAGATGTATTATAATATTGCACAAAGGAATCACTTCCCAGTAACAAAGATTGTTTCACTCCACGGATTATAACAGATGAACTTGTCATGTTATTCATTTTAATGTTACAACACCTTCATCAAGTAATTTAGTTAGTTAGAGTTTAGAAAGAACAACACATAATTTAAACAAACTCAATAGTCGGGACAAGCTCTGCCTGTTTGTCCGTTCACCCTGTGAGCTCGCAGGCCGCCACCGCCGCCGCCGCTGACCTGTCAGTCTGTTGTGCTGTTAAACAAGTGCAGTCAGTCCACACAGCCGTCTGAGTGCGTGTATGGAAACAGACTCTATACAGCGTCACTGCTCGCCTTTTGTCACTCTGACTGCCATTCACCCTGTGCACAGTGTAATGCAGCTGCTTCCCACAGCAGACAGCACAGAATAACGCTCTGGAGACAGGAAGGGTCTGCTCCCTGCTCGCCATTGTGCGGCTGAATGTTCGGACCCGAAGGTTAAGAAGTGGCAGTGGACTGCCCGCTTCGCAACGCCACGATTCACAAAACAATACGCTTTTCACACTGACCTCTGGCTGGAAAATAGGCTTAATGTCCACACGGCAGCAGAGCGGCCGAGTGTGTGTGTTTACCTTCCACTCACACACAGAGACTCCTCCGCCGCAGTGTGCAAAGTCACAAAATCACAAAAGCCGTCACAGTTTGATGTGCAGTGTGACCACGCGAGCTGACACGCGACCTGTGAGCCATTCATGTGTGTGTGTGTGTGAGAGAGGCCACAGACAAACACTTAAAGAAGTTGTGACTTTGCTGCGGGGCCTCATGGGTAATCTGGTTTGACGGACAGACAGACTGACGGACAGACAGGTGACCAGCGATAATGTGTCAGACTGATGCCATGGTGACAGGACGACGGTGGCGTGTGTGCGTGACCTTTGACCTCTTCATTTGTGGAGGGCTTGTAACGTCTCTGTCTAAGCTGGATGAACATAGGCAACCTGAAATGTGTGTGTGTGTGTGTGTGTGTGTGTGTGTGTGTGTGTGTGTGTGTGTGTGTGTTTGAGTTAAATCTATACACCACTCCAACATTTCTATTGTGTGTTAAGTGTCAGCCAGGCGACGCCCACTACAGTGCACCTGGGAAACCAGCGTCTGGGAACTTCAGCCTCCTGCAGCGTCCAGAACTTTATTGAACAGGTCCTGTGAGGACGAGGTCATGGTCGTGCCGCTGAGGTTGAAGTTATGTTGATTCATGCAACTTTATTTTTTACAGGAAACATGATGAAATCAACAAACACCATCAGTTCATTGAGAGACTCAAATTTATAAATTTGAACCTGAACTGTCACATACAACTGTCTGCTGTTCAAATGTCCACATACTTTTGGCCTTGCAGTGCATTAGCCCAGGGTTTCAAGTCCCTGCACGCTGTCATTCAACTTGAATCAAAGTGAACGCCACTCAAATATGATTATACAGACAAGAACTTGAGCTAATCTCTCTCGCAGACGCCATGATTCAGCTGCTGATGGTGTGTGTGCGTCTCTTTGTTCCGCTGGATTAGCAGATTAGCGGCTCTCCTGTCTGATGTAACTGTGACTCACCTCATTCATCTAAGTGATGAACAAACTGACAGAAAACAATGAAATTATAATCTGGAGCTCGCACCACATCTGTCTGACACGGAGCTGACAGCTCGTGCCACTGGACGCCACTGACGGTGCTGCTGCATGACCACGTCTGCTGGGAGCCATGTTTGAACGTTTCAATATAAATTCAGCTAATCACAATGTATTGCTCTGATCTTTGGATCAGATAAATCTCTGTGTGTGTCTTTCTGATGGTTAATGAATACGATGGCGGACAGATGGTGCTAACAGTAACACTTTTACTACATTACAACTGTGAGTGTGTGTCTGTGTGTAATCATCCTACAGTATGACTCACAGAAGCCCTGAGTCATGTTTCCAGTGTATCTCAGCTCTTATGTCACACAGACAAACTCTGAATGATCTTCACAGCTCAAGTTCTGACGAGGAACTTTCATTCAACAACAAGATTTGAGCTATTACAGTTTTTTGAAACTTCATTCACAGATATTCAACATGTTGTTTTATTATTATTATTATTCTAATATTCCATTGGTTCCCTTTGGATCGTAAGCACCTCTACTTCATACTGACTGACTGTCTTACCTGTGAGCAGCTCCTTCAGGGTGTTGTACCAGGTCTGTGTGTGTTCTGCGGAGGCGTTGTGGAGGTGAAGCGTGTCCTCCTCCAGCTTCCTCCCTCTCCTCTTGCAGCAGAAGAGGGCCACGCCGAGCACGGCTCCCCCCGACTCCTGGCCCGCTGCTCGCCGCCGCTTCACCTTCACTGCATAAACGTCCTGCAGCAGCAGCACACCTGGCTGTGGCACACATGGCTCACCTGCAGGGGGAGGGGAAAAGAGCTAACACACATGAACCTGACTTTGCAAACAATGTGTTTCTGTATCTGAGTTTTAACACAGGACAGAGGGACATTGTCCCATAAAAGAGACCTGTTATGTTAAGACAAGCTGAACTAAAGTCCTGGATATGGACTGAACGCAGAGAGATGACACTGATGCAAATCTTCATGATCTTCTTCTGCTGATGCAAAATCTTTAAATAACTTAGATTAACTTTGATATGAAGCTGTAGAGGACAAGTCAATAAATAAAAGTTAAGATGTCCGCACAATCATATATGTTCTGTTATATGTTGTAGTGTAAGTATTTAGTGAATTAGTTTTTGTGATGATTGTGATTATACGTCCTATGTTTTGTTTTATGTCCTAGATTCGGTTTTGGACCCATTTTCCTTTGTCATATATTTGACGTCTGTACCTTTCATTGTCACCATTAGGCGTTTTGTTTTTGCACCGACATGTGAATGACATTATCTGTTCACCATGACTCATGCAAGTGTTCACATTACTTTGTCCACCCTACCCTTGTCAATCATAATAAAATGTGAATGTAGCATGTTGCTGCTGGATCATCCGTGTTCACGTTGCATAACATCGTTAACTGTATTAATCACTAATCCACTGATCAGCAGCACCGGTCATCAGACGGGAATTCTTCAGTGTGATTGGTCCAAGTCTGATTCATCATCCAATCTTCTGAGGATCTTAGTGAGCTGAGCTCAGAATTACATAAGACACACACACACACACACACACACACACACACACACACACTTTTTCCATACCGTGTTTGTTACTAACCAAGTGGACATAGTGCAGCAGGGGCAGTCTGTTGCTAGTTAGCTAGAGTGGCCGACTGCGGAACAAAAGGGGGATGTCAGAAAAACTGATTATAGAAAAACCAACTATAAGAATGTCAAGTGTTTTAACCCATGTCCTGTTTTCACTGTGGCTAAGAACAAATAATAATACATTACTTCATGAAGGAAACATAAAAAACATTTACTGTTTTTTTTTGCAGGCCCTAAAATGTGAGGATTTGCCACATATCGGTTGGACATGGATTCTGGGACCTTATGATGCATATTTTATATGTTTTCTTACATTTCATTATTAATCTACATTAATAATATGTTTTGTCTTTAATCAGTGGTCTTAATATCATAGTCAGATGTCCATGTAAAACAGTCTGGTTTAAAAGATCTCTTCTTAATATGATTTCATTGTAAACGATGGAGGACAACGTGTGTTCAGACGTGAATGTAAAGCTTCAACAGCCCGGGTCAGTGAAATCAAGTCTTCCTGTTGTGCTTCAGTGGACAAACACACACATGTCACAGCAGGTGGATAAACATCTGTACAATAAATCAAATCCACTTTAATCATCAGAAATGTTTCAATCCATCCAGATTTGTGGGATTATTTGTCCGTCCAGATTTAAACCTCGGATGTTTTTACAATTAGAAAAAGATTTTAAATGTGTTATGTGAATGTCTGTAAACTAACACGTTGGGTTTAGTTAACTCTTTCAAAGATGATTAGCCCAGCAAGTTTAATCTCAACTGAAAACCCTGATCATTTCTCATTTATTTATACTTCACAGTATTTAATGAACCAATGACCAAAGGGACTTAGTACTGAAGGCAGTATTTAGTTAGTGTAATTTCAGTACAATGTACTTGTAAGCAGATATAAGGAGGGAGTATCTGTCAACAATTTCAGTCTCACCTATGAAGACATATTTTATAATAGTAGTGTTTAGTGTGTATATTATGATTCATTGTTTATACAACAGCCTCTACTTATGGGAGTCCACATGAGGAGACATAGCTGTTTAGAAATACATTAATATAATACTTACAGTATATCTGCTCGCACACATAGAGGATCAGATTCATCAGAAAATAATTATATTTGATGATGGCTGATTAACCCCTCCTCTCTATGAAACACACTCCTGCTGTTATCAAATATCACATAACCACCTACCCCCTCGTCTGCCCGCGAGGCCGGCGTCCATATGTCGGGGTCACAGTCTGTTGTGGTTGCTTCTTTCTCTGCTCAATGTTGATATAATATTGTACATAAATATATTATATATATTGTACTTTTTCTCCAATCATTTCATATATCGTCCTCTTATTAGTGTATTTTTGACTCGGTGAAGCCACGACGACAGTGAAAATAACACAATAAGTTTTACGTGACATTACAAAACAAACTTTTTCATAAAACAGTCCACAGATATACACCTATCACCTGTTTTACTATTGATTTATATCTATTGGATCTGCCTTTTAATTCAGTTATTTCTGAAGCCTTTCATTTGTGTAATTTCCTGTTGCATCGAATGTGTTATTGTTCTGTAAACGAGGTCACTAACACATCTGTTTGGATTAAAATGACATTTTAAAACTGCAGAAGGCAGAAAAATATATATTCAAACATTAAGCTCACTGACGCTGTGAGGACCAAAAAAATATCAACACAGTAGGATCGATGGCTATAACTAAAAATACACACACACACACACACACACACACACACAGTGAGGCTGCATCCGCCTGTGTTGTCGTGTAATATTGACATTACACAACAACAACTGATCAGTTATCATTCCTTCACATTTCTCACTGGAGATAAATCCTCCAGAGATACTTCACTGTCCACAGGAAAAAACGTATACTAAACCTATAGGCCGGTTATTTGAGTGTGTAGTGAAACTAGAGCAGCGATAATGTTGGATTTGCTGAAAGACAGAATAAAGACCGACTGGACATGATGTTCCACAACGCAAAGCACAGAGGAGCTGGAGATGTTCGGCAGTTTATGTTATGACGAGTTCAACTTTGAAATCATATTTTGTCCAAGATTTATATAATAAATGATGTTCAGCACTAAAGTAATACTAAACAGATTTGTGTCTTCCTGTCGGCTCAGGTCTCACCTCTCTGACAGACAGACAGACAGACAGACAGACAGGCCAGTGGGTGAGACAGTGAATTCATGTGTAGAAATAAACAACAACAGCTGATCCATTTATATAGAAATATATAATCAACACACACACACAGCATGCTGACAGGCTGACTGTGCAAGTGTGTGTTAATCTCCTCACACTGAGAGACTCTAATAACCCCCCACGGGCCAAACCAACTGCTCTCTATACTACAGCCAACACACACACACACACAATTCTGGCTTAATGACATTAGCTTGGATGATATACAACAAAACAGATTGAGGCATGCGGACACACACACACACACACACACACACACAGTATTTACACCTTCATCCTGCTCCACTAACCACTTCTGTCTGAAAGGAATTTAAACAATAACTAACACACAAAACAAGATATTTTAAGCCACATTGTAAATTAAAAATAAAACCTGTGCATCTTATAGTGTGTTGAGGATGAAGCATGAAGTCAAGCTTCTGAGACTGTTTGTAATCACAGAAAAAAAAGATCTTCTCTGACACAACTCTTCAATCACAGATTTTAAATTATTAAAAACATGATATTGGTGGAGTTAATCAGTCGTTCATGTCATAAATGATATATTCATCTCTCTAACATGATAGTACATGAACTGTTAACAATTCAAATTATAACCAGATTTTTTGGTATCACCCACCGTCGATGTCTAACTGTTCACACAGTAATGGATAGAGACCTGCACTAAATTTAAAAATTCAATTACAAATGATCTGAAAGCAGATGTCATGGTGCATTTTGGACCAGTGGGAAAAACCAGAACTACATGTTTTATAGTTTTTCTTAAATGAAAAGACTATGACACAACAAATTAATTCAACAATTGACCTTTTCTTTCCACATCATCCTCTTCTCTTGCTCAATATTTTACTTAACTGATGTTAAATTTTCCACATCTTCTCTGTGTGTAGTGCATATGGGGTTGGCTGCATTAAACACAGCACCTCTAACAAGGAAATGCTGACAGAGTCACATCTGATGACGCTCAAATTCATGAAAACTACTTTGTTTTGGTTTTCAGGTTAAAGTGTGTGTTATCAGTTTTTTTGCCTAAAGACACAGTCACACAAGCAAAATAAGCTACAGCTGTCATTAAGAAACATGCACGTGCACATGTATGTTGGTGTTCTTTAAAAATGCTTATAGAAAAGCATCATAATTGAGAATCTGGGCCCTGGTTAACTTTCCTACGTCTTGATAAAGAGCCACGGGGAGCAGCCAAACTGTCCCCTGTGCAGCGGATGTGTGCGTCCAGATGTCAGGTTTCAGGTGGTCTCAACATGAGAGAACTTCTCCATTACAGCACCAGCTGCCTCGACACACCCGCAGTCTGTCTGCCTGTTAGCGATGATCACCAAGACAACCCGTCGCTGTGGTTACTGACCTGTGGGGGTCTCAGGCGTGATGGGGGTCCAGGTCAGTCTGGTTCTGGTGAGCAGGACATCGTGACTCTTCTTCCCCAGTCTGAAGATCCCGTGCAGCACGACACACTCACTGACACACACAAACACAAACACACGGTTAATTCAACCAATCAGACGTCGTTTACAAGCATTTATCGATGAAGTCATAATAAAACGATTTTTTTTCTCGAATAATCGATTATTTGAAAATATTAAAAGGGGTCCTCTTATTAAAACACGTTATTGTCCAGCTGTATAAGGTCACAACACCCTGCCAACATAAAACACTTTGCTTTTATTTTGGTAAGGTTCTGACTGCAGGGTTTTTACTTTGAAGGGCTTTTACTGTCTTACACAAAATTGTCCAAACAACTTCCTGCTTCCATGTTGGTTCCAGACAAACCAGAGTAACTCCACATCACTTCACCATCGTTGTATCCATCTGCTGATCTCTGTCACCATCAGTCACTGACGTGTGGTGACTGCAGGGCTCTTACTTTGAAGGAGTCGTGTATTTGAGGATTCCTGCAGCTCTTGATATAAACTTCTCTCTGCTGATGAATCACTAACTTGTGTGAACCTCCTCTGAGGTTCTGTGAAGAACCTGAGGAGAACCTCACTCACCTGCGCTCCACCTCCTCCTCCTCCTCTTCCTCCACCTGCTGCTCCTCTTCCTCTTCTTGCCGCCTCTCCCTCAGCTTCTTCTTCTTCCCGCTCGGTCTCTCTGTCTTCTTCTTCTTCTTCTTCGTGCTGTCCCTCTGCTCCCTCAGCTCCTCCTCGGGCTCCGACATGTTTACCAACAAACAAACAAACTCCTCGGAGGTAAACAAAGCAGGAGGTGCAGGAGGAGGTGCAGGAGTTGATCACAACCAAACTCAGCCCCGGGCAGGTTAGGGTTTATTTCCGGGGTCTTGTCGCTATGGAGACGACGCTGCATCAGCTTTACCGTGGAGACGCCTCGGGCACGCGGCAGACGGGCGGCGCTTTCCCGTTTAGATGCGGGAGCGCGCACAGCGTGAGTAGACCTTCCATCGGTTTGTGATCGATCATCGATCAGATGTGATGACTGAGGTTTTTCATTATCTACTCAGAGTAGAAGTACTGAGACCAACCTGTGTGAATATCATGTTGCAGGTAATAGTACTGCATCACAACAGAGGTAAAAACATGTGAATGTTGTGTACTTGAAGTAAACCCAGCAAACCTCCATTAGAACATATTTCATTTTCCTTTTTACGAACACGTGAATAAAAAAAAACTACACAAACAAGTAAAAGAATTATTAATAAACTGATGAATCTACATATTCAAAAAGGAGTGAGAAGAAGTACTCACGCCTTCTCCACGAGTCATTAATTAATTATTATAATACTCAATCAATATAAAACTGTCATTCACATCACAATAACTATGAACTTTAATATTGTCTATATTACAAGTTTATTTTGAAACAACACCTTTGAGTCGTGGTTAAGTTCAATGTGCTAACAGTGTAAATTGTCAGTACTGTCGTTATGGTTACTTGCCATCGTACTGTACATGACACCTGCCAACCAATCACAGAGCAGGATTTGTCCTGGCTGTGGTACAAATACCATATTATGAGCCACAACCACAAAGAGTGTATGTTGTTAACAGATGGCTGAGTTTAAGCTGCTTTAATCAGTGTTATGATCAGCCAACAGTCCGCAACACAGAACCGCGATCACATAAGGCCGCTGCCAATAAAGCTATTAATACCTCTCTACTGCTACTGTAGCTGCTTCCCAGTGTGATGAGACGTGTTCCCATGTTCTTTGTGTTCGTCATTTACAAACATGAGAAGTACGAGTGAAAAGAGTTTTCATTTATTTCAAGCGGGTTCCTCTGAATCTCCTTCAGATCTTGACATGTATTTATTGATTTATTTATAGAGCAGCTTTTGTTTGTACTCTCAATAAGAATCTCGATATTTTTGCTCCACATACCTGTATCTGATAGGTGCTAGAATATATTGTGGAAATAGTTTCTCCTCCTTGCACTTTTCTCTCATTGTTATTCCGCTTTAACAGGGAGGCTAAATGGTGGGATATGGCCACCATATTGTCCCTTTTGACTTACACACACACACACACACACACACACACACACACACTCAGCAGGACAGCAGTATGTATGGCGGGGGGGGGGGGCTCTCATGCATAAACAAGATCATTTTCATAAATTAAAGTCTTGCCTGCAGAACGAACATCTGTGCCCCTCACACACACACACACACACACACACACACGCACACACACACACACAGTAATCCTGGTTTTGTCCTTCAGTCGCTGTGATAATGCTGTTAACATGTTAACAGGGTTTTCTCTGTAAGGAGATATGAGTTCTCATATGTTTAGTATCATGCTTGGAGCCTCAAATCCACTTTATATAACATCGTCGTCACATAGAAACATTTTAGGTTTTCAGTCTTGTCCTTTTTTTTTTTTGAGGTGATCTGCAGGTTTGTGAGCTGGTTCTAAATCTTCTTGAAGTAGAAAGCCACTGTACGTGTGTATATGTTGAGTTATGTTATATATATTTATATATTGTATATTCATGGACAAAACCTATGACTTCTGTGCTCATGCTAAAAAAAACTGAGTGGTTGCAGTACGATGTTAAAAGTTCCTGCATCCGTCGATGGATTAGCTGATTTATAATTTAATTCCTGTACCAAAAAAACATTTACTCATCAAAAAGACGAAATTGTTGCTTGTTCGGGTAACTCATCAGCAGACATGGTGGAAATTCATCCTGATCAACAAATTCAAGGTTAAATTCAAGTTTGGTCTGCAGCAACAAAAAGCTGCTTTTTGAGTACTAAGATATTTATACGACACTGAAGACATATTCTTTTTATTAACTGCATTTCAAGTTTTTTTATATTTGAATGTTTTACTTTAGATATTATGAGTAAAGTTAATTAAAAACGTTTGGTTAAAACCATTCTTACCATCCCGGTGAAAAAAACTCTGAATCTGCAGATGAAAGTTGAAACTCGTGCTCATGAATCAGTCTCTCAAGTGAATCACATTGAATTCCTTTTAATAAAAGGCATTTATAAACATCTATCTTATAAAATATGAACAGGAGTCACATGAAATGTTAACAGAACACTACAGGAACGTTATAAAAAGCATAAAGTAAAAACCACATGAACAACATGAACACTCCGGCCCGCTCCCGGCTTGAAAACCGGCCCAACACTGGCCCAACATCATCTCCATGACACACTGACCCAAAAATAGAGAAATCTTTATTCTTTCAACATTTGGAATCATCAGCTGAGCTGTGCTCAGGTTTTAACAAAATTGCATAGTTTCTTCCAGATTATTGCTTATTGATTATTGATTATTTTTAAGTGATAATGTGGATAATAATGAGACATTCAGAGAGCATCTCCGCAGTATGAAGCGTTACAAAGGTTACATCAACAACGTGATATCATCGCCGAACCACCGTCCTCATGACCAAAGAGAGTTGAAGAAGACAGAAAGGACAGAAAGAAAGATATTTAATGATTCCTCTGTCCGTCTCTTTGTCTACATCAGTATTTCAGTCCTTTGTCCTCCTCTTCCTCAGGAGTCATGGAAGATGGCGTTCAACTGGGCGTTCATCATCCGCTCATGGTGCGAGTGTCCTTCAAAGCCCATCAGCCCGTCCGCCTGCAGTTCACCACACCGCTGGTTGGTCCCCCCACCGCCGTAGATGGCAGTGTGTCCCCCAGCTCCTCCTCCCCCATAGTGCACGCTGAAGGAGAAACTCTTGTCGTAGTCGGCAGCTGCGACGACCTCGTGCTTGAAGGACGAGGAGAAGTTCCCATTGATGCTGAGTGGTGGGCTGAGGGGCGGGTCAAACGCCGGCCCGTCCGAAACCAGGACCCCATCGAAGAAGGGCTCCAGGGGGCCGTATGGCTGACCTTTGACCTGGTGGAAGATGTGGGAGGGATCCATGGTGCCATAGGGTGGGCTGGGCAGGCCGGCTGTCAGCCCGGGGCTCTGGTAGGAGTAGTGTCCAGGATAGGCAGTTGTGCCGGCCGGGGGAAGATGAGCCGGCAGGTCTGGTGTCTGCTCCGGCAGGAAAGTCCGAGGGTTCAGCTGCAGGCAGCCTGCCACCAGGTTAGTGGTTGGCTGAGACAGACCTGAGAACAGAGGGACAATTATCAGTCAATGCTGATCAACATATTAAATACTTAATAATTTCAATAACTAACTAACTGGTATTTCGATGTCACTCCACATGGTCATTTCCCTTCATGTTTATTTCCTACAAACAGATTTCCTGCTGCTGTTACTTGATGCTGACCTTTGCAGAGCGCCTGGACGAAGCTCATGAGGTCGGGCGCTTTCCCGGAGCGCAGGATCTCACTCAGGGCCCAGATGTAGTTCTTGGCGAGGCGGAGCGTCTCGATCTTGGACAGTTTCTGAGTTTTAGAGTAACACGGGACGACTTTCCTCAGGCTCTCCAGAGCGTCGTTCAGACCATGCATGCGATTCCTTTCCCGGGCGTTAGCTTTCATCCGACGGACCTTGAACCTGCAGAAACACATAGTGAATTCATTGTTAGCCCTGTTAGCAAGTAAAATCCTGGTAGTGATAATCTTCATTCAAGGTTCATGTGAGTGAAGCCGGCACGCCGTCGATTGCAGCTAAATAAATGCAACCGAGAGTAGAAAGCAAATTTTTATCCAGTGCATTCGTGCATCTTGGCATCACAGCCAAAAGCCCAGTGCAAGTGATGGAGGTAGTTCTTTGGGGTATAAGGGTGGTGTAGAGACAGAGTCCAGGGCAATAAAGTCCGTAAATCAATCTCTGCTGCAGGTACGGTTTATTGCTCTGTGTCCATAACAACCGTTGAAGGCAGCTTTTAAATGTTTTATGAGTTTCCCGGAGCACTCGTTCAAAGCTGGTCCACATGCACACCAGGGATTTAACCGTCTTTAAAACACGTTATAGCCCATTTTAAAAACCACAAGTATTGTGACTCATTGAAAACCTTTTAAATTGATATGGTGACCATTGTAGCAGTCGTTCATTTGGAGTCACGTTTCTATTTGCTCTGTTTTTGGTCTCCACCGACTCCTGAAGGAAATATCTGGATCTTTAGCTGCTAAACACTCACTTTGTTCTCCAGCGAATTATTTTTATAGCTGTTCTAAATGAAGCTATAGTCACATGATGTTGCTGGTATTAAAATATAGATAATAGCGACTAAGAAGGTTTGTACAATGGATTTTATGGAGCTCACATGAAGAATATTTGCTCTTAAAACAAAAGAAGAAAAACAAATCTGTCTCCTTCACCTCTGGATTCGAGCCTTCGTCATCTTCTTCCTCTTCGGCCCTCGCCTCTTGGGTTTGTTCTCACCATCTTCCTCCTCCTCCTCCTCCTCTTCCTCCTCATCATCATCATCGTCTTCCTCATCCAGATGGTGGAGGTGATCGTCGTCCTCCTCCTCCTCCTCTCCTCCTCCTGGGCTGCGGAGCTCCTGCTGCTCCTCTGGCTCCACTGACCCCTGCTCCTCCTGCACAGACCTGGTCATGATGCTGATTCTCTGAGGAGCAGAAGAAATGTGTGTTCGTCAGAAAACAATGAACTCACAGAGAGAGAGAGTTTATGAACATAAAATAATATGCTTGTGAAATAGAGCACTGGTTAGGATTATTCAGAATGAGTTAGATCTTCAAAGGTGATTCTCCCAATGTCATATTTTTTCATATTTTGAGGAACAAGTGGAATTTACTTCTATACTTACATACGAGATGCAACAGCATCATTTCTACACATGCAGAATATTTTAATGTTTGTTGTTAAATGAAAATAAATAATCACCAAACATTTTGCTTTTTGCTATTTAAGCCGTTTGTCTTAATTGTACAACAAATAAAAAACGCAGCAGAGTATATGACTGTGAGTGTTTTAGTTATAACAGAAACTGTGTTACTTGTTTTTCAGTCTCCATTAATATATTGTATTAAATGTATCTGTATTATTAAAAGTTGTATTCCCATGAGATCAGACTCAGAATATTTGTATTAACCAGAATCAGCAGGTGTTTGAATAGATCTCTGAAAAGTAGAAACACATTGAAAACATCGAAGGGGATTGATGAAGATGGAATAAGCTTTTAAGAAAGAAAGAAAGAAAAAGCTTTTTAAACGATCGGTTCCCCTAAAAAATCAATATGAAATATTTATCAGCAGGCGCTCATTCTGATTTAAATAATTCAAACATTACCAAGTTTATCTTAATTCATGCGGCTCGTCAGTTCTCTTTAATGAGAACATTTCATTTTAATCAAATCAGTTCACGTGTGTGATTCCTCTTTTGTGTGTGCAGGGAAATTAAATATCCGCATTTTAATCAATTTGTTTCCAAGAAAAAACGCGACATTACAGAAAGGTGTACATTTTATTTATTTTAAATCAGTGATTGATTTTATAATTACTGAAAGTGTCGGAAAAATCCAGAACTTCGAGTTAAAACAGTTTCAAACTGTCCGGACGAAAACGGAAATCATTTTCCATTCAGTTTAGTTGTTAACTGATCAAATCTGCATCTTTAATCGTTTAAATTCAACATTATAATCTAGAATAATCTATTCAAACGATGACAATTTTAAAATAGCAAATGTTTTTACATTCACAATGTCAAAATGTATTTTTTGACAATATCTGACAGAGAGAAATAAAAACGGAGGTAAAAAAGACAAATGAAAAAAGAAAAATACAACGACAGGTGCGTACAGTTTATTCAAATGATAGGCTGTTAGAATAAGAATAAGAATAATTGACGCTATGTTGACAAATCAAATCTATTGATTCATCTCTGTTTCCCGCTGAATTGTCCCGTTAGAGAAACGACAGAGAGAGAGAGAGAGAGAGAGAGAGAGAGAGAGAGAGAGAGAGAGACAGGTGGAGGTGAGCGGACACAAAACGTTCAATTAAAAAAGCCACAATGGTCTAAATCAATCACAGTCAAAAGATTCCCTGGAATTACTTATTTTTATTTTTTTTAATATATAGAAGAGAAATACATTTTAGGACCAGTATTTGCTACAGCCGAGGTTACACTGACAATTAAAAATAAAAATACAAGACTTCAAGTAAAAAAATACAAACTGAAAACAAAATAGAATTTGAAATAAGATTCTTTCTTACACCTGCTGATTCCGTCTTTACACGAGGTTTAACACATGATGATTAATTTGACATTAATGATCAGATGACAGAGAAACGAGGAGCCAATCACAGGAGGAGCTGATCAATCAGACATCTGTTATAAATCTGTTCAAAAATTTAAAACTTACTTGTGTTAATGAGTCCGTTAGATCGCGCGCATCCCGTGTGCTCTGTGCGCGTGTCCGTGCGTGATTGTGCGTGACCTGCTCTGAGCTTTCTGAGGGGTGTGCGTGGGATGCTGCTGCTTTTATACCTATCTCACACACAGACACACACACACACACACAGACACACACACACACACACACACACACACACACAGAGACACACACACACACACACACACACACACAGAGACACACACACACACACACACACACTGGAGGGAGGGTGGTAATTAGCATATCGGTGCTCCGCCCCCCCGGCACGCGCCATATGGTGCATACGTCATTAAAACGGTCCCGGGCATCACGTGACAAATCTTCCATTTGTATGAGCCAAAGAGTCTCTCTCTCTCTCTCTCTCTCTCTCTCTCTCTCTCTCTCTCTCTCTCTGAAAGAAAAGTTGACCATCTGTCCACACACACGCCTGCGCACACTCAAACATGATGTGCTGTACATGACGCTCATATGATGATTTCTGGAGAAACCTGCGCGTGTGCAGGATCATGTTGTTGAAGGAGAAGAAGTGATGCTGATGATGCGGCTGCGGCTGATGATAGTCCGGACTCTTACTGACAAAAAGGCTAATCTGAGGTTGCTGGTGTCACGTAGGTAGAAACAAAGAATCCAGATCCGCTCCACCACCAGTTTAGCAACAATCTTTATCATGGTTGCATCATGACTCCCACAATCCAGAAATGAAGCCAAAACAAATGTTGCACAGTAGCGGTTGGTGATGGAGCTGCTCCAGCGAGGTCCTACATGTGCTTCGACCAATCATGTCAATCATGACGTTACACATTAGACATTTGTATGGCATCGAATTATGAGTTAAGACCAAACTTATCGAGAAAACAATGGCACTTGTATTGCAAAATATATAATTGTGGAATAATTGCTGATACTTTATGGACTACCACTAACTCTACCACTTCCTATTGATTGTAGTTAAAACCCAACAAACACTATTTCCTGTCCACCATGGTTGACTGCACCATTTCTGATCTGCAGGAAAGACGCTGTGGACTTTGGACCAGACCGATCGCTATGGTGACAATGAACCGGTTGCTAGGATGTTACCAGGTAACATTGGAGGAGCTGTGTGTCTGTCCATCACTGTGGATCCTGGGACAGCTAATGGTTAACACAAAATCAATGTCTCTGGTGTTCACGTCAGGACTGATGAATATGAAACTGAAGAGTGGAAAGGAAATTAACTTTTTCTGTTTAAATACGTGTTTCTGTGTGAGGTTCTTTCCAGTTGTTAGAATAAGAGCACAGATAACAGATGAGATATTTGTCAAATGACCTTTTCTCTCTTTTTTTGCTGAGCAGGTGATGTTCCCTGGGTTTCCGAGCTGTTTCATATTAACCAGATTCATGAGAGACTGAATCAGACAGGAAATGTGCTGTAAAGGAAATACTGAAACTCTGTTTTTTGAAAGATTGTTAACGTACCATTGATTCTAAACACAGCCATGATGTTGGGATGGAATTTATAAATACTCAAACCAGTTTTAAAATTAAAATCTTCAGAAAAGTAAGATTTACAGAAAGGATTTCAGTATTACATACTTGATACTTTCATGTACTATGTTCCAAGTTTAGTTTTAGTGTATCAATCAATCAAATCAATAACATTTTATTTGTATAGCCCGTATTCACAAACACAATTTGTCTCATAGGGCTTTAACAAGGTGTGACATCCTCTGCTCTTCACCCTCAACAAGAGTAAGGAAAACCTTACAGCATTGGTTAGAGTAAACAGTTTAAGCATGATGGAAGGTAAATGAACTGAGGAATTATTGTCAGTAATGGTCGAGTATCTGAGGAGGCATATTGTATATCGAGCAATCTTGTTGTAATCATAGTCCACGATCAGCTGCCACCACGATTAGGATACACCATCATAATCCGTCATCATGATCCACTGCTGCCATCAGGACCCACCATCAGCTGCCACCTCGATCATGGTCCACCACTACGATCAGATGCCAGCACGATACAAGATCCACCATTATGATCACAATCTCTGATTCGCGATTCACCATCATACTCCACAATGTGGCCACAGTCGTGGTCCTAGATCTGTGATCCATAAGGCACAGGGACTCCGGGGAAGAAGTCAAGTCAGTAACATGTATTGATGAGACATTAATTTATTTGATGTGATAAGGAAGGAGAAGAGGAAAGCAGTATAGCAGCATAACTAAGAGCAGCTCTAACTATAAGCTTTATCATAAAGGAAGGTTTTAAGCCTACTCTAAAACAAAGAGAAGGTGTCTGCCTCCTGAACTGAAACTGGGAGATGATTCCACAGGAGAGGAACCTGATAGCTGAAAGCTCTGGCTCCGACTCTACTTCTCGATACTTTAGGGACAAGAAGTAAGCCTGAGTTCTGGGAGCGCAGTGCTCTAGTAGGGTGATATGGTACTATGAGCTCTTTAGAGTCTGATGGTGCCATATTACTAAGAGCCTTGTAGGTGAGGAGGACAATTTTAAATTCTATTCTCGATTTAACCGAAAGCCAATGTAGTGAAGCTAATACATGAGATATGAGGTCTCTTTTCCTGGTTCTTGTCAGGAAACGTGCTGAGCACTTGAGGACAACAGGACTTGTCTGATTTTTGAGATATTACGTAAGTGAAAGAAGGCGGTCCTAGAAATAAGTTTTAAGCGAAAATCAAAGGACAAATTGGGATCAAAGATGAGTCCCAAATTCCTGAGTGTTTCATTGGAAGCAAGGGCAATATCATCTAACGCAGCTATATCATTAGATAATGTATCTCTAAGGAGTTTAGGGACAAATATTAGAACCTCTGTTTTATCTGTATACAGACAGATAGATAGATACTTTTTTAATCCCGAAGGAAATTCAAGTTAATCCCGAAGGAAATTCAATTAATATAAAATGTATTTAGCAGTTTCTATAGCAGCATAGTTATTCATGTTAATGAATTGAATGCATGTAATTAAAAATGTCTCTAGACAGCTGGGTGAGAACTCCAGTAAAGGAAACATTAATATCCTCACTTTTCAATCAAAGCTGTAAATTGATAAGAAAGAGTGAGACAGTTACAATTATTACAATCAATTCATCAACACACAAAAAAATATTTCTACCAAAGAGCAGACAGAAACAAGGACGACAAGGCAGAAAGCTACTCACTGATGAATATGAATTATTATTCTATACTGCAGCCAGTCTGTGTGTGTGTGTGTGTGTGTGTGTGTGTGTGTGTGTGTGTGTGTGTGTGTGAGAAGGTCAGATTACCCTATTCATACGGAGAACTGTGCGCCCACTGAAAACTCACACTGATCTCCATAGAGACAAACAGAACTAAAATAAGCTGAGCTGGTTCGTCTCATTGAAAAATAATATTATAAAAAGATTGAGGAAGAAAGGATGATTAAAAGGCATTTGGAAAAAGATATCTGCAAGAAGAAGATGGATTTTAAATAAACAGGTTTAGCAGTGGTTGAAAACAAGTCTCTGTCTGATATGTCAAGATGTTAAGGGATATCAATACCAAAATTAAACTTCCCTTGTGATGCAATGTACTTTAATAGAAAGTCAGTCCCTAATCTTTAATTTGTTAAACCTGTTATATCATCTGGACCAACAGATAAACTGTGATACGCAGTTTAAAAGTGTTTGGTTGCCATCTATTGGTCAAATGTAGATACTGCAGGTAGATTTAAGGTCTTCCTAAATAAGGAGGCTACATTTTACACAGAGGGGCCAATTCCTGAATCAGTAAAATGCACTCATCCCTTGTTTACTGTTAGCTCCGCAGCTTTGAGCATAACCACACATCAGTGAATCCATCCGTCCATTATCTATACCACTTAACCTTTGAGGGTCGCGAGGGGAGCTGGAGCCAAACCCAGCTGACGTCGTGCAAGAGGTGGGGTACACCCTGGAGCGGCATCAACATATCGCAGGGCTAATATACAGAGAAAACAACCATTCACTCTCTCATTCATTCATACTGTAAACCTCTGCTGAACCTAATCTGCATGTCTTTGGACTGTGGGCAGGATGCCAGAGGACTCGAACGGGGCCGTGCTGCCCATGAGTCATTTATCATGTTTGGAAATTTTTTCCTTGTTCAGGCACAATGTGAACTTCAAAAAAAGCTTTGAGAATAAATATGTTTAACAAATTGTCATATTTATTGTCAGTATTGTTAGTGAGTGACTGTATTTGAGAACCAAAGGTGACCGGGCCTTTTCTGTCAGGGCTCCCTGAGACAATCTGTCAGTCCCTCCTCACCCTCCTCACCCTCCTCACCCTCGTAACTGTATAACACTGTAAGTCATCTTGTTTTTAATCTTTTCTCATCTGTGAAAATGTTTTTCATTTCTGGCTCTGCAGGCCCCACCCCTGGACTGGCCCCTGGACTCGCCCCCTGCGTGAACGCCTCAGGCGCGGTGTTGTGTAATGACTGCGGTGTAATTACACAGACCGTCCGAGAGGCGTCGCCGTTTCTCCGCTGCGGGCCGCCCAGGACACGCCTCCTCCGCCTCCACGCTGCCTCTGCTGCTGGTTTCAGGAAGCGGAAGCAGGAATGTTGGAGTGTTTTTAGAAAAGTTTGGAGACTCAGTCGGACACTTTAGTTGACCAGGACTCGAACAGCGGAGAAAACATGACGGTGAGTGTCTCAGAGCTCTGACTCTTCTCACAACAACCATCCGGGTGTTTCCTTCACTGCTGCAGGTGAAAGAGCTGCTGCTGTTTGGACACTTTTACCACCTCTGCTGTCAGTGGTGTCCTGCGTGTCCTGCGTGTCCAACTAAACTGGATCAACAAGACACACTCTCGTGACACATGATTGTTTAAACAGCACTTCGTTTTTTATACCAGGAACCAGAATTAAAGTTTTTATTGGTGATGTTCTAACCGCAGAAGCTGAAGTGACATCTGACTTCAGTCCTGTCAGTGTCAGTGGTGGAGGATGTTGCAACCTATAGTTGTATCACTGTGTGGACATGACAGGTAAAAACACAAGGATCCATATATACTTTTATAGTGTTAGGAAAGATTCTCATTTTCAATACTATATGTTATATAACTGGGTACTTTTATCCATCAAAATACATTATTTATGTACCTGGTTGTAATTGTGATTATATGGCATTCATAGTCTGTATCCACTAAATAGTTTGTAATTTAAGTTTAAAAACATATATTTTTTAAATTCTCTTGTTTGTTGTGGAATAGAAATGCACATATTGCATGTAAATATACTTCCTTATAAGTAAAAGTGCTACATATTAATATTATGTAAATATTATGTGGAAAATGTAATTGAATATCAAAGTGACATACTGAATTCTTTGAGTTTATGATAATTATAGTACTTATAATTTGAATTTGTGTAACGCCTTTCAAGGTACCCAAGGCTGCTTTCTGGACTCAGGAAAAATATGAAGATTAAATTATAATAAGTCAATATTAGTAATTAATAATAAATAATGGTAGACTTGCAAGCTGGGGGCTAGAGAAAGTAGTGTTCAAACACCTTTGTGTTTTGAGGAATGCTATTTACTATATCTACAGCGTATTCTTTTATAACATTTAGTTTTTATAAATGTATAATTATTATTTAAGCAACAGCTAACGATAAAGCTTGAACTTTTTCTGGGTGGCTGCTAATTTTACAGCGCATCATACTTTAACAGATCTTCAAATGTTTTGTTTAAAGATTCTTAATTTGTAAAGCAACTTAAATTGAAAAATTGAATTATTCTAGTAAAATAGAGTTACCATAAATTTGTAATAAAGTAAGTTTAGTACTTACTTTCACTACTGCTTTTCCCCAGACCTCTGTTCTGCTTCTGGCATCATTAAACAGTTTGTGGTGACCATTGATCATGAATCAAGCAAAGACATAAAAAAGAATAAGTGGAGCCTTTGTTTAGTTCTTCCAGCGTAGTCCGGCAGTTTTCAATAACAGTGATGTAACGTGTGTGTGTGTGTGTGTGTGTGTGTGTCCCTCTTCCACACAACGATGTTCAACTGTATTTGCTGTGATCTTTGTCGGTGACGTGAAGGGTTCAAATGTCAGATCAGCTGCAGTGTTTGGTGTGTTCAGGCTCCAGGAGACAGTAACAGTGTGATTTCATTCATATCGCCCGTGACCTCTGAGTCTGGTTTGTGTCAGAACCGACAGGTTAACATACAGTCAGTAGGTCAGAGTGTCTCGGAGACCGTCCGTTTACAATGACACTGAACAGAGAAGAAAGAAAAGTCTGCATTTACACTGAAATAGTGCAGAGCTGCAGAAATAAGTCAATTCATTCATTTTGACAGAAAATGTACATAATAGTTTAATAAAATGTATGATATCAAATGTTACTTGGTTCTGTCTGTTTCTGTTGGTCAGGCTGAAATATGTCAACAACTATTAGATGGATTGGCTCTAAGTTGTGTACAGACATTCATGGTCCCCTGTGGCTGAATCTCTGTGTCTTCATTGAACACCTGACTTCTCCTCTAGTGCCACCTTGAGGTTATGCTGTCACTTGTACTATATATGTTGATTGGAGTGAAATATCTTAACACAGCGATTATACTAATAGAATTTGGGATATATAAATAATATAATCGTGTCCCCCTCAGGATACCTTAGCATTTCATCATCATCGGCTCAAAGGATTAACTAATGATGAAATACCTGCAAGAGTGAAGAAATTCATTCGATCAGCCTCCTCTTTACTTTTTGTTTTGTGCTAATTAGCATCTGTTAATGTGATTGTGAACAGCGTAAACATTAAACCGGTTTTAACAGTAGCATGTTAGCATTTGGCTCAAAGCACTAATGCAAAGTACATTTCTGTTTTACAAAACAAGTCTGTACATCAGTGTTTAACAAAATCTGAGCCGGAAAGCCTCAGAGAACTTAGACGAAATAAAACCTAGTGTAAGATTAGCTCCATCATTTGCTGACTCCTTAAATAACCGAGCCCGACTTGAACACAGCTCTACAAAGTCTTTCTTTCAGTCTTTCTGAGTAGTTGATATTCAAAGACAGATTTTGGGTGAAGGATAAATTTAGAGGTGTGTGATCGTGACTCGCTGTTGTGTTATCAGGACTCACTTCCTGCACACTGTTTTTAAGTGAGTGTCTGCGTGTGTGTTTATTGTTGGTGTTTTCTGACATTCCAGTTTCTTTTGCATTTTCAGGAGTAATCTAAAAATAAACCACCCCTCCCCCGCTCCCCCAGCTCCCCCGGCTCTCGCAGACAGGAAGTTGTTGTGTTCTTCATTCTAAACACTTGTTTCCTGTTTCACACGTTCTCATTTACATTTGACCGCACACTCCTCTTTTTGTCCCACTCTCATCCAGTCTCATCCTTTTCTCCATCTTTCACTGACTCATACTGCTCATTTTATTCTCTGTACCTCTGCGCTTTAGCTTTCTCCATATGTTTGTATCATTTTGTTACCGTTCATATATTGATCTAGATTTTTATTTTAGTAAATGTCAATCAACAGTAAATCCATCTCAGTCCCATGTTATCAGTCAACAACACATGTGAGTCTACGCTCTGTGAACTGAGCTCTGTGAAAGTGCTAACATGCTCATGCTAAACGCTCAGTGTTTAACATCTTCATGGTAACAAGTCTGCAGGGAAAGTGCTATACAGTGACAGTGCTAACATGCTGATGCATAGCAGTCAATGTTTCACATCAGCATGCTAACACAGTGCATGTAGCAATGTTCATGTTTGTATCTCGGTTTAGCATATAAGTGTGTTGCTAATTAGCATTGTATTGTAAAGCATTGTAAATATTAAACATTTTACTAGATTATCACATTATTTCATTCATTTTGAGAACATAAATGTCTGAACCAAACTAAATGGAGTCAGTTGTTGAAATAAACACAAGAAATGTGAACTTCCTCGTGGACGTCTGTAGGATAAATCATCTGTGAATGTCAAGAAAAAACATTGAAAAATTTCAATAAAACTTCAGACCAGACTGAAGTGTTGGACCAACCCATAAATATTTATTACTAAACACCACACGGCTTGCAACGTTCAAATGTTTTCTGGTTTCAATTCCTCAAATATAAAGATTTGGGGATTTTCTCTGTTCTATAATTGTTCAGTGAATATCTTTGGGGTTTTATTTTTATTTTCTGGGGGAAAGTAAGATGTTAGATATCGGATGGGCCCATAGTCCTATAGTCATGTCGAAACTTGTCCTGTCATGAACTGCGCGTTAATTCTGCTAATTTTCCAAATCAAAAATACATTTTTAGATTGACTTCCTTCCAGGCAGCCATTGGTATCTGTTCATTTCTGTGAAAATCAATCTGCATAGGCCTGAAACAGTAAACCATTAAAGTCAACATTGAGTCACCACTATTATTTTTGTCAAGTCATGTTATCATTGTGTGATAACACAGTTGAAGGAAGAGACTGTTTTGGAAACTCCCTTTTGGTGAGTTAAAGGACCTTAATGCAAGAAGCTAAAATATTAAAATTACCATTTTCACCAATTTATAAGCAATTGTTCTTATAGTATATATATATATATATATATATATATATATTAATATACATTTTACAACATCAATGTTTCCAGTCGTGTGCTTGGTTGTAACCACAGCTGTTTGGGTAAATTGAGGATTTCTGTCTCTCACTTTCTCTCCAGGTGTGTTACCTGTTGCTGATGTAACTGTAGAGTTGTCAGTCTTCTCTGACTGACTGAAGCCAACCAGACACGCAGGTTGGCAGATATGGAGAGTGGTGCTCTGGAAATGGACACCAGTGCTGCTGCAGGTGGGTTGTCTTACTGTAATGGTTGAAGTATATCACCCAGTGAAAGCCTTGGCTTGGTTTTAATAGCTAAATGTAGCATTGGAGTAGTTGAAAGATCCAGCTCCTGTCATTCCAAGCAGAAAAACATTAATGCAAACAGTTCACTGGTTTAAAAAAAATGATTTTACGAAACATAAGTTGAAATGAACACTTTTGCAAAACGTGTGGTGTCAGTGAAAGGGCTGATTGAGATGTGGGGCTGTCAGTCACTGCTTTTGATGATAATGATGCATGCATGTTTGAAAATGCAAATCCTGGTGACACAGTTCAAAGTTGAGCTTCAGGGGACTGTTCCACACGGATGTAGTTTGCCACCTGCTCAGTCCTGTTCTTGTTGTTCATTCTCAAACTGGTGGTTAAAAAAACAGTTAGTTGACCTATTTCCCGGCAGAGCGCTGTCACATCCGATCACTCGGCCTCACTCGCCTGCTGTGTGTGTGGTGCTGCTGCACTTGTATCTTTGTGAGGACCATTTTGAGCATAGACTACAGAATCAGGACATTTTTACAGTACACTGCTCCTCCCCACCCTTCACTGGTTACCAGTGGCTGTCCGTATCCACTTCAAGACACTAGTACTTGCGTACCGTGCTGCGAATGGATCGGGCCCAGCATACATCCAGGAAATGGTCAAACCTTACACCCCAGCCAGTCCACTCCGCTCTGCATTGGCCAATCGGCTTGCTGCTCCCTCACTGCGAACAAGCCCCCCATTGAAATCAAGACAGCAGAAAGTCTACACATATTCTGCCGCAGGCTAAAGACACATCAACTACACCTTGGTTAAGATGATAGTGGTCTAATAATATTAAGTTTAGTTGCTTTTCATGCAGAACTTTGTAGTTTGGCTTTTTTTTTAAGCTAATGTTCTTACATGGTTCCTTCTGTTCTGTGTTGGTACCCTGAAGGTTGAATGCACTTATTGTAAGTTGCTTTGGATAAAAGCGTTAGCTAAATGGCATAAATGATGTAATCATTTTTGGAAAGCGAGGAGATTTTGATCGGTCCTCCCTTTTTAAAAAGGCTGTTTGAGGGTTCAGACTTGGTTTTAGGGTTAGGCATTAAGTTTGGATGGTTAAGGTCAGGGTAAGAGGGGAATGCATTATGTCAATGAGTGTCCTCACCAAGATAGAAATGCAAACGTGTGCATGCGTGTGTTTTGTTACTGAATCAGTTGTAGTTTCTGTTTGTCATGTTGAATACCTGCCAAACCTGATTGATGACTTCACACAAGGCAGGCTGACAGTCAAATCATTTGCTTCATTGATCATCAGATCCCAGAGTGCCGTCAGACTGCAGTATAGCCAGTCTGCGGCGTCGGGCCTGGGCCCAGAGCAGAGATTCCATCTGGCCCGAATCACAACAAGAGCACTGTGAGCCCCAGGGCCCCCAAGAGAGCCAGAGAGGCAGGGATGAGCAGGAACCCTCAAAGGAACCAGGTTGGACTGAGCTCAACTGTCACCAGTGTTGTAATTGTGGATATTTTTAATGTGAACTGTATATAAAAAGACAAATATTTCACATTAACTCAATTTTTTAGGTAGGTCCAATATTCACCTCCTCACCTCAAACACGTTCTTAATCAGTCAGAGCTGAATAGGTTGTCAAACAGTTTTATCTCCTCTCAGTTATATCAGCATCACTTTATATGTTGGCTGATAAGTAACATGAAATAGACAGTGGTATAGTGCATTTAAAACATCTTAGAAAACGAGGTGCGATGTGAAAATACTGCGACCAACACTCTGATTGCATCATAGTGAAAAACACAACTTTTCTTCAGCAATTATTTTGCTAATTGATGAATTGTTTAAGGAATTCATACTCACTCACGTCTTGAGCTGTTTTCAGACATGGACTCCAGGAAATGTCTTGAAAATTTTCCATAGTTTGCCTTTCACATATGAAGAACACAGCAGGAGATTGTCCCGGTGAGACGGAACATGACGTATAACTTTTGTTTTTGTTAACAGCAAATGAACACTGACATTGGCTCTAATCACCAAGAGCTTGTGAGTTTTGCTGTTTAGCAAAGTTGATATCTTTGTAAGCATCTCCTTCGTACATGGCACCTGATTTTCCTGCTGTATTCTCACATGGGCTCACTCTGACATTTTGCTGACCTTTTACTGGGGGGCTGGCAGGAAAAGTCCTGGAAAATGTCTGCTGCGTCTGAATCAACAACATTTACGCTCTCACATACATCCCCTCCGGAAAGTTTTAGGCAAATCTCTGGAGTTCAGTGCATGTCTGAAAGCAGCTTTATATTCGTATTTTTGAGTCTGTTGGTCGAGAAACCAGGAGCTGTCATCTAGAAACAGCAAAGTGGAGAGAAGTTATATAGAGTTATATATTTGAGTCTGTCAGCAGTGTAATGGTTTTATAGTATGTTGTAATCACTTGTGCATGAAACCTATTACTGCTGACGTATTGCTTTAACATGCTCATCTGTCTCTGTCAGGACGAGTTCCTAACAAGATCACCAGCTGGCTGATTGAATGCAGGTACAGTTCCCAACTGCCTAAAGGACCATACCAATGTTTTTCTACTGTTGTAGCCTGTTCACCACATATAATTTAGGATAAAGCAGTGCAGAGTTTTCATCAATCTGCGCTTGATCAAAGTAAAAATGACTATTTGTTGACAGTGATGGATTATTTCTTGCAGCGACTTTCTGGTTTCTGCAGGTTCATGTTCTTGGTAGTGAACTGAAACAAGTGAAGCTATAAAAAGAACAAAAATGAATATGAACTGACGGATGGTTAAAAAAAATGATCAGCAAGAGTGGAGGTTGTTTAGGCTGAGTAAAGCATGAACAGCAGGCAGCATGGCCTTTTGTGTCCTGACTGACTGGTTGAGCAACAGACTTTCTAACTGGTTTTCTTGCTGACTGGTGTATTGATGTGTTTTCTTAGTGTCTACAGGTGTGTGTGTGTGTGTGTGTGTGTGTGTGTGTGTGTGTGTGTGTGTGTGTTATCAGGTACTGACGTAGAACCAACACGCAGCCAACGCCTAGACTTACAACACACAGAACAAACACACACACGCTCACACACAGCAGACCAACGCCCAGAGATAGGGCACATAGAGCTGTGAATGAGAAGCGAGGGGGGGGGATGAAAGAAAGAAAGGAAGGAGCTGACATAAGACGGAAAGGACGACAGAAAAAAGAACAGAGGGCAAACAGAGGAGGGGTTCCTTCTGCAGAGTCAACACAGTTATCGTACAGACGTGCACATACAACACGTGCGCAACCGTCTGGCTCTGACGTGACTCCTGCAACATCGCCGTGGTGACATGACCGGCAGAATCAGAATCGCCGGTCACTACAGCAACAGCCACCGGGCAGAGGCCAGTGGCCAACATGGCTGCCAGTAGAAAGTGGGAGGACTTGTGAACATTGCAGCTGCGCACTATTATACAACCATCCATCTGTGTGTGTGTGTGTGTGTGTGTGTGAGAGAGAGAGAGAGTTTTAAATGGAAGCATGAAGTTTGTCCCATTGATAAGAGCTGCAGGTTGTGCAACAGCTCACAACCGTTAGCTTACTGCTACTGTAAACTAGCCTGAGCTGTCAGCTGGTCATCCTGGGATACATGGTCGGGTCAGTAGAGCTCCTGGGATGGAGGACAGGATTTAGCCCGGGATTTGTCTGGGTATGTCAGCCTGGCCTGACCAGGAGTTAGTCTGGGATAGTCAAAATTAGTCTAAGCCTTAGCCTGACATCCAGTTAGCCTCGTTAATTAGCCTTAACTGATAGCATACTCAGGGGTTTCTGTATGAAAGTGCCGCCAACATTTTAGCCTGTGATGCTAGTTTATGACTTATAAGATAGCATCAACTAGCTTATCAATATACAGACCAATCAGCGTCGATTCAACCATGTGCTTCTTTGTTTATATATTGGATTAGGTACTAATGTGTGCGACAGGACATTATAAACTAATCTAAATCTGTGTAAGCGCTTTAAATAATATACTGTCATTGTTTTAAATGTAAGGACAACTGGACAGTTTGATTGTAAGTTTTGAAAACTGGGTATTTACTTAACTTTTTTTACGGTTAGGCTACTGTTAGCTAAGAGGAGCTGACCTGACCTCACTGATAGAGTGGTCTGTTGGATCTGTATGTTTTAAAATGGTTCGTTTATGGTCGGGGTTGATGTATAACTCCGTCTCCACCGTCTCATTTCCAGGACTCCTCTTGGAGCGTCTCTAGATGATCAGACGGCTTCACCGAACAGAGGTAACCAAACTCTTCTGCGTGTGTTGTTTGTTATGTTGCCTGTCGGGACACTTAGTTTACTACACTTACAAGCAGTCATTTTAAAGCTGGGTTCACCTTGTAGCGTAATGTCCCGACTCTATGCATCAGATATGGAAACGTTACTGAGAGGATTTCATAACCGCCCTCCTTTGTGTGTTCTGTGCATGTGTGAGAACAGGAGCGCTGAGGAACGGCTGCAGCTTTGAAGATGACCTTTCACTGGGAGCTGAAGGTTAGCGCCGAGAAAATTCACAATGCAAACAAGATTAGAGATTTCTGCTCATTGTTAACAGTTTCCCCTCATGTTCTGCTAATTGAATGTTTTAACTGACATCGCCAATCCAAGGGGCATTTTGACATTATGGTCAAACACTGAAGATTTAAATCAACCTCACCCTCATATTGTCAGTCAACTCATTAACTACAAACCTGGCTATAATGGAAATAGAGACGTATCACTGAAACAAAGGGCAGACCATGATTTTGCATACTCAGCTCCACAAAGTTTAATATCAATTCTGGGTACTTCAGAGCTCAGGATAAGTCAGTATCTAATTTTAAGATGTTCGTATCAAACCAGCGCCAGGTCTTGCTCGTGCTCTGAGTGCGACTCAGTGTTCAAATGAAGAAGTTCTGACTGATTTGCATCGCAAAATTGTCCATCCTGTTTACATGACCAATTTGTTGTAGCCACACATCCGTAGATTTGTAGGTACTACACAGAACTGGGTAAAGGCTGGGTTCAAGTTTAGCTGGGGACAAACTGAGAAGCTCACTTTCACAAGATATGTTATTCTGAGACTTCCCATGTGAGTCTGAGGTGACTGCTCGTACACATTGTGTAACTGTTCACAGTGAAAAGGTGTATTAATGCATAAGCATCCGTTTGCTTAAAGGTTTTTGGCACTAAGGGAAAAGGTATTTTAAAAATAACAAACATATGATCTACTGCAGAACGTCTTGTTCTACTTGTCTCTCAGATAACTGCATGTTTGGTGTTAGTTTAATGCTGCAGAATGACTTTGGGAACGACGCCTGCCTGATGTTCTTGTCTGATGAATCAGGATCTAATCAAGTGCCCAGAACATTGTAAACATTACATGCACGCTGCAAATAAGAACAAGTAGAAACCACGTGCCTAAAGCAAAACTTCTGCCAGACAGCTCGCATTGTGTTTGCTCTGAGCACATCACTCCCCACATGGAAATGCTGAACTCAACACAGCAGAGAGCAAGGAGTGACAATAAAACCTCACCATGTAGGGGGGGGATCGTGGACGTAAAGTCTTGAGGTGGGGCTTTTCAAAACAGCAGCGTCAGCAACCAAGTGAACAGAGGGGTGCGTTGGATATATATCCCTGGATGTACGGTATGTTTTGGATTTAAAGAATAGGCCATGAGAGATAGATAGATAGATAGATAGATAAATGTGAGAGGATTTAATTTTAATTCAGCTGCCACCAAAATATGCTTTTCATAATTATATTTTTTACACAACTCAACTACAAAAAATATTCAAAGTGATAAAGTAAGGACTGCCCCCCCCCCCTCGTTTCTAACCTGAGTCAGTCCCCCTCAGTGTCTGACTAACACAACAGTGTCAGTAGAATCAACAGAACATCTTCATTCCTTGCTGCTGTTTCTTTATGGAAGAAAAGCAAACAGTCACAGAGGTGTGGAAACACCATGCATGCATGATTGACAGTCCTTAGCGCGGGTGTGCGTGTGTGTGTGTGCGCTGTCATCATTCCTCTGATCTGCTGTGAATACCTCAGCAATGGCTCTGATAGCATGAGGGTGTATTTGTTATTGAGTGAACAATAGACTGTAATGACTTTTGTTGCAGAACACTGCGTGTGTGTGTGTGTGTGTGTCTGTGGGTTTGTGTGTGTGTCTGTGGGTTTGTGTGTGTGTGGTCGGAGGGTCAGCTGATGGATTCCAGGACTGAATAGACGCTAATGAGCTGATGCTGAGAGGTTAGAGCCAGCAGAGCCAAACCTGCATTTGATTGTCTGTTTTTCTCTCAATACATTACGATGAATACATAATGCTGCAGAGTTGTGTAAGTTGTTAGCCTCTTTAGTTGAGTACCTCTGTGGACGTCCTGCCTAAAGCTCCCCTCGTGTTGTCGTCCTACAGTTAAAGCCTTAATCACCTTGACAGTGATATTTGTCAGAATGGCTTTTTGTCCTGTTTGGAGACGTCATGTAGGGGCAGGTCCTGATGGACTGCAACGATGTCAAACTTTATCAGGAGAGGATGGTAGGGGATTAAAGTGTTCATGTGGGAAAAAGGTGGAAGTGAATTAGTAAATTAAAGGAGTGAATAAGTGAATTATTGTAAAGAGGTGAGTCATTGTAATGTTTGGGTTCATTAATCCAGCTGTCCATCAGAGAAGAAAACACTGGGTTAAAAGAGGGATGAGGAAATTCAGCTGACATTTAATGGAGAAGAGAGACGCTCACTCAGACAGACATTAGCAGGACGACAGGTCTCGACAGGTTCTTCTTACCTGGAAAAGAAAACAACTGTCACACCTGCAACTGCTGGTGACTTTCACTGCTCCGACTGAGTGAAGGTTAACCTGCCTCAGCTTTATCTATGAAGCCAGAAAGTATCAGTTATAAAAAATTAAAGTACACTTTTAAATTTTGGTTTTGCAGCTCCTCGGTTTTAGCTAAAGGCTGTTGAATATACTCACTCATTTGATTTTGCTTCAATAGGTGACTTGTTTTAACGTGAGAATCTTGTGATAGGGTTCTTGAATGTGTTCTTTTATAGGCTACATGATATGCTCATAAAACTGAGACTTAAGCTAACACATTCCATGCAAAGTCCTTTTCGCCTGTCAGTGTTTTAAGTTATATTGAGACCAAATATACAGAAATAATAGCATTGTTTTTCTACGGCAGTGTAAAGCTAGTTATTAAATATGATGAGTAAATATGTATCTGTATCCCAGTTTGGATGCTTGGTTGGAAAATGATTATAACAATAGTTATAATAATAATATTTTGTTGTGTTAAATCTTAATTCGTTGTTCTTCTCTATGCAGCCAACCATCTCCAGTCCAGTAACAACAATAAAACAGATTCCTGGTGAGTTCACTTTTCTCCCTACATTCAGTCAGTCAGCTCAGATGATAAACTGATAACAGATCAGTTAACTGACATGAAATCATGAGGTGAAAATGCTAAAGAAGCACTTACTGGTACCAGTTTCTTAAATATGAATATGAGTTAGTTTCCCAGGTTTTTATGATGGTTAGCTCAATATTTTTGTGTGTTTGTTTGGTGCTTGGAAAACGGCAGCAATTTGAATATGTTAAATTTGGGCTTTAGGAAATATTGACACTGACTTGATAAAAGAAAGATAAAAGAAAAAATAATGGTCGTACATATCGATAATGAAATATAACAGCTGACAAATTTGTGATTGAACAATTAAAAAATACGCAAAAGGTAGTGAGTGAACTTGGGACTTAGATTTAATGCATAAAGTGTCAGCTGGTTGGTAACTTAGGTTCTCCCCTCTCTACCCTGTGTGCGTGTGTTTATGTTTCTGTGGGTGTGTCTATGTTAATGTGGCGTGTTCAGTTTTGGTCTTGCGGCTGAACAGAAGAGGAGTCAGTATAAAGAGAAGGGAAGAAGTATGAACTCTACAGGATCTGGGAAGAGCAGCACCGTGTCCAGGTCAGTTCACCTCGCCGGGCTTCAGTCACACTTCATGTCACCTTGTACAGAAAGTAACGCAGTAATCTCAGGTAGAGAGGGGGGCGGAGACACGGGCTGTTCTAAAGCTTCAAACCAATTAAATGTTAAGACTAGAGATGCACAACAAACTCAACCAGAGGTGTTGTTATGGAGGCTCAGGGATGTAGAGCACTGGTTCTCACTAAGGAGTCCAAAGATTATTAAAGGAAGTTAAAACATTTAAAACAAAGTTTTATTTATTTATTAAATTATTACTGTTTCTTTAAATAAATATTGAATTGTATTTTAACAGATTTACGTCTCTTCAGGTCCATAAAAATACTTCAAATTATACATGCTTAAAGAAAATTTATATTCTTTCCCTATAATCTGTAGGATTTACGTAAAACAAGACATTTTTAATATCACTTATTGTCGGCTTTTTTTTTTTAGCAGTAGCCGGTCACATCCTGTTTAATGGGTTTATTTACACAGAAGTCCAAACACATATCTTATAATCCACAGGGTTTCTGCAGGTCTTAAAAAGTCTTAAAGTACTGAATAAAGGACGTAAACGTGGATTGTATTTTAAAAAACTTGTATTTGAATATAAACATTTGGTGAACACTGCAATGTTTACTGTTTACTCTCTTACAGCCAAATCAATGTATGGCTGTTGCTAACTCAAGTGCTTATACTAACCTCACACTTCCCACTGCTACTTTTTCCACATTTACTGGTAACATATGTTTGGTGGTTCTTATTGTGAAGAAGCCACAGGAAATGCAGATTGTCATGTAGGTTGGTCTCTACTGTAATCGTTAAATTATCCAAATGACCGTGTTGATTTTGATAACCCTCTTTTGTCATTGGATCAGTTTATATTATATAATATTCTGTGAAATGCTGGACCGAGAAGCCACAGTGATATGTTAGATGAAGAGCTACTTCATTACTGGGTATTTGTACAACGGCAGACTTTTCTCAGGCCTCATTTGACTGGTTTGAACAGCTCACATTGTCACTGCTCTGTCAGAAATGTGTATAATGTTTTGCAGATATTCTCATCGAAGCAAGTTTTGACAATAAACTAACATCTTTAAAATCGGAGCCTCGGTAGAGGTTTGATTGAACTAACAGTCTGTGGCAGATAACTGTGTCTCAGGAAGGTGATTATTGGTTGGCGGGAGGTGTGGGTGATGGTGCTGAGGTTTGGGCGGTGCTCTAATGTGTGTAAGGGGCTGTGGATGCTGCATCATGTGTAACCCATCGTCTGGTGTATGTTGTAAATACAAAGTTTGGTGTGTGGCAACATTTGCAGCAGATTAAGGGATTTTTTTAAGGATGAAAAATATTCAGACAACAGCGCCACTTCCACTGAAGGATTTGTTCAAACAAACGGATCAAGTCGTAAAAACATATATTCAGGTGCCTGTATCAACATCGAAATCGTTCTTGCTTGCTGTGAATGTTCCACCTGAACCCACTACATCCAGTCTCTCCAGGAATCTAGGAACCCCTAATCACAAGAATTCATTCATCATTTATTGGCACCACTCATCCACTGCACACCCAGGCTGTGTTGCTGCAGTGAAGAAACTGTGACAAAGTTTCTGCAACTAACCATCAAATGCATAAAATAAAAAAATGTAGAGTCTGACCAATTTACTGGTTAACCTATGAAAGTCAGCTGATATGAGCCTTTCAAAGACATACTCGTATGTTCTTGGCGTTTCTATTTGAAAACTTTTATTCTACAGAATAAACACTGCAGAAAAGATGTGCATATATTTTTACAACAATGTAAAAGCAAAGTGAGCTCCTGGAGGGACTGGTCCTCTACTGCTGGGTGGGTCTCCTGAGGAGCTGAGCCATCGCACTTAATAACCTCCTCACTACCTAGAAACAATACAACAATCCCATTTACCCACTAACAGCAGGCTCTGTGTGAGAAGTACTAACTGGCTGTCTGTGTTTTCGTAGAGTTTCAGAGGTGTTGGAGCAGACAGACGAGCACCCAGAGGAGATCCTACTTAACCTGCGGTTAGACTGACTAAACTAGCCAGCAGACTAACTCACCGGCTAAATGACTGAGCGGTAAACTGACTCACTGGCCGAGTTACTGACTGACTGTATGTGTGCGTGCGTGTGTCCCCATAGTGTGTCGGAGCTGCTGGACCTGTACGAGGAGGATCCTGAAGAAGTCCTGTTGAATCTCGGTTTTGGTCGTGAAGAACCCGACCTTTCCTCGAAGGTTCCCTCCAGGTTCTTCAATAGCTCCTCGTCAGCGCGAGGCATCGACATCAAGGTACTAACGACAGCAACCTGAACCAAAGTCCTACAAACCTTTGTGCTGATTTATCGTCTGGATACTTAAAACTCGTAGACTTAATGGTTGTGCTACAGGATACGTTTAAAGTCTAGCATGCATCACGTTAAGTCAGTGCTGCGCTCGCCGCATTAGGTCGGACGCACCTGTTGATACTGTTTTACAATGACATCACTGTCTGTGGCTCACCTGCAGGTCTACTTAGGAGCCCAGATGCAGCGCATGGAGCTGGAGAACCCCAACTACGCTTTGACTAGTATGTGCATTTATGTCTCCTGCATGGGTCCTACTGTTTATGACTCGACTGTCCACAGCCTCTACTGTGTTCTACTGCGTGTTCTGTTGTCTGATTCACCCAAACACATGGTTACTGCAGTGAAAGGTTCACGGAGCCAGTGATGAGGCTCAGAGGTTCACTTCCCGAGACTGTAGACAGAGGAAGTGAAGTTCAAAGTGTGTGTGTGTGTGTGTGTGTGTGTGTGTGCGTGCGTGTCCTGTTCCCAGTATTATTGTGTCGTTTTGTAGGGTCCTTCAGCCCTTTTAGCTGTTCTGCCAATTGCCTGGACAACACCGGCAGCAAGGACAAAGATCTGTTTGTCCCGGACACTCTCTCTCTCTCTCTCTCTCTCTCTCACACACACACACACACACACACACACACACACACAGCTGATTCTTTTCTTCTTGACAGTTTAATTTCCTTGGTTCTGTAAAAAAAAAAAAAAAAGTTCAACCAAAGATCCTCTGTGTGAGAAGATGAATCACTCCACAGTTGAAAGTTTTTTTTAAAGATCGATTTGTCACCTCGATTATTTGACCAGTTTGAAACTGTTGAGTGTTGCACAGCCAACACTTCTACTTCCACATGGAACTACTTGTCTCTAACTAAGAGTTATATCTGTGCCGTTCTGGTTGATAAGTTTCCTTGTTTGTTTTTCAGAGCAGTAAATGTATACTTGCCTCTCTGCCAAGGAGGTTATGTTTTCATCAGCAGTCGATTGTTTGTTAGTTTGTTAGTTTGCAGCATTACACAAAAAGTACTGGCACATTTTTTCCTGAAACTTGGTGGAAGGGTGTGGTTTGGGTCGGGGAACAACCCATTTCATTTTGGTGCTGATCCAGGATTTTATTTTCACTTTCTTTGACATTGTGAGACATTTTCACTAATTTCAAGGAGAATAATTAGATGAAAAACATCATATTCAGGGAACTGACATCTAAGAGTATGTGCAACTTTCTGCAGCTTGATTAAATTTGGGACTGTTGAGCCGTTACGCTATACTTAGTGCTATTCTAGTCGACCTTATGTGACCCGTCCATTTTGCAGCGTCTTCCATTTCTGGTTTTGTCCTTTAACTTGTGGTCACTATTGTCGTCTTAAGTAAATACATGTGAAGAGTCTTGGCCCTGATGGTTTCACACAGCCTCCTGCACATTTTTCACAATCCACATTTTTTTAGGGAGGTTGCTGTGACTCACTGTGTGATTCACTAATCGAAAGGTCGGTGATTTGATCCCTGGCTCCTCCTCCACATGTGGCAAACTGAACTTCAAAAATTACTCTTTCAGAAGTAGTTTGTTTATAAATCCAAACCTTTAACCATGAGGCTTGACAACAACTATTCCACTGCAGCTACATAAAAAGCACAGTTTCACCAGCATGCAATAGCAAAAATAAAGCAAGAGACGTAATCTTTAGATAAGCAGCGCCTGAAACCTGCAGCTGGATACATGATACATCGTTTTAATAGACAACAAATTATATACAAACCTCATTAAGAATTTAAATCTTATAATTAATTCAGAATTAAATTCTTATGGGATTATAGAGGAAGATTGACAGCCCTAATGTGAATGAACATCTCACTCTCTTCCAGCTCTGGCTGCCCCTCAAGCTATATGTTTCATTGTGAAACTATTCCTACACTGCAGTGTTATCACAAGCAGCAGATGTTCAACTACACAAAGCAACACAATCCCACCTCTGGTGTAGACAGGAAGCTCATATACAAAACATCAGAGCCATAGAACGTCCTTGTAACTGAAGCATGCTGCCGGTAGCCCGGCTGCAGATTTAATTCTCTGTATATTATTTGGTCTAAAACCTGATGCAATGCATCATGGACACTGAAAGTGGCATATTGTTTCCAGCTGCTTATGTCGGGAGTTCCTCCCTAATTCCCTTGTTATCTGCAGATAACAACTAAATGAGGCACAAGTGGTTCCTTTCTGAGGAGAGGAGTGCCCATGTCTGTCTGGTAAAAAAGAAGCGAGTGAGATCAAATCAAAAGATGTGCTTAGAGAAAGGGATCAAGCTGAAGAGGAGTTAGTTCACCATCAGAACGCTCCTCACTTGCTAACACCCGTCACGTTAACGCGCTGTCAAAAAAGATATCCATCTTTGGTGCCCCTCTGTGGTAGCGTAAGAAAAAAGACACGGGGAGGGATCTGTGTAGCAGCACATGCAGCCGAGGCAGTTGTCCTGTGGTGTGTTTGTTTGTTTGTTGGCTGCTGTGAATGCTGAACTCTGGTGTAAACCAAGCAAACCCAGCGAAGACCGTGTAGAAAGAAGAGTGTTGGTCTGATTCCAAGTGGACTCCACTCTGGTGGACTCTAGAGCTGTTTAAAAGCACCTTCGATGAGCTGACAGCTGAGTCACGAAAGGAGGAATAATATAACACATTCCTTTTTCATTCATTAATGTGTAACTGATTTATTACATTCTTCAAATAACTTTCCTACTTCCTCCTAGTATCCAGAAATGAAGCCAAAATATTAGAGATATGAACGCTGCACATCTGTAGCTGGAGTTTGTGCGGTTGTGAGAGGACGTAGCCGCTGTATCAAGGTCAATACACTCGCTTGACCAATCGTGGTTTCATTCTATTGCAGTTGGAAAATGATCTGCATAAGCATGTAGATCTCTGTTGCAGGCGTCTTATTTTGAGAACACTTCCCAAGTAGTATTTATTCATCTGTTTGATGTTGTGCTAATTATCTCTTGTCCAGTTGTTTAACAGCTTCCACACAAAACAAAATCAACAGTAGTTAACGAGTTTGAAAACAAACCGCTGAGTTGAGGTGAAAACACACCCTCCGACCGACCCAGTTTTTAATTGCATTGTTTACTTTTTCTTACAGTTAAAATGTCTGCCAGAGGAATGATAGGAGATATTGCAGAATGCTTTCTGATTCGATCCTTCCTGCACTTGCACACAGTTTGCAGGTTGTTCCAAACATCTTAAAGAACTTTGTGGATTTAGTGTCAGTGTTTTCTGTCTCTTCGTGTGATTCCAGGCGGATGATGTTGAGATCTGGGCTCTGTGGGGTCAGACCATGTTCTGGGACTCTTTGTTCTTTTTGTCTCTGCAGATCTTTATGAGTCTGGCTGCAGGTTAAAGGTCATTGTCATGCTGCAGAAATATTTTGGGACTGATGCCGATTCCTCCCGGGTGAGACTGTGTGATGAATAAGAATCTAAACATCTAGTGACTGAAACTTTTCTGTCTGTGCTTAACGTATTAATAAAGATGCCAGTGTAGCATCGACTACCTCAAAATGGCAAAAGGGTTTATGGTTCATCTCAATGAACACACTTGTTAAAAAAAAAAACTGTTCATACAGATCCAGATTAGATCTGTGAACTGCTCCTTAAACGGTCTCTGTTCTGTCTGTGGTTCCTGGAAGCTTTCTTCTTTTCCAGAACATTCTCATACTGTCCCATCGTTTCCCTGGATCCCAGGGAAGTGTGTGTGTGTGTGTGTGTGTGTGTGTGTGCGTGTGCGTGCATGTGTTGTTTGTTATGTAAGCCCTGTTCTCACCATCAGAAAGAATCTCTTGGGATGAAGAGTAGTAAAAAGAGAGCGTACGTGTCATTTTCTCTTATTCCTCACTTCCTGTTTGAGGATCCTAAAAATGAGCGTTAGTGCAGAGTCAGCAGTCGACAGGAAACACACACACAGTATTAATATCGTCACACATGGCTGCTGTAATAAGAGGTTCATGTTCTGAAGTCGTCTGCAGATGTGCCTGAAATGATGCGGCTGTTCGACTGACTCATATGTAGTTTGTGTGTTTTAACTTCAGTGTTTTCTCTACTTTCGTTTTCGTTGCCTGTTTTAGATTTTTTTAAATGTGCAATCATTTTTTTGGCAGCAGAAAAAACTATTATTACGCTTCCTCTCATGTTTGAACAATGAGAGGAAGCGTCTGCCATCTTTATGTACAGTCTATAATCTATAGATCCACGCGACACATGTATCACTACAATCACATTGTAGATATGTATCATGTTGTGTCATACCTGTGTGCTCATATTTAAAAATGAGTTATGCTTTCCAGGAAATGCCAAATGCGAGTTTATGCAATTATAAATTCCCTGTAAATTCCCAGAGATGTAACTGAATGCCACGAAGGACACTTATCAACCACCAGATCAGCAGCTAGAGGTAGGGATGATGTCAGAGGTCAGCCAGTAAGCGGCAGCAGGCCTGGGGGTCGCTGTATAACATCAGAGCCAGTTATGAGGCATTTACAGAGCATCGGACAGAAGACAGATCTCCGTGTTTCATAACAGACTGACAAGTATTTGGACAGCGAGCGATGAAGCGGAGGAGGGGAGGAAGGAAGGAAAGTATGCAAGTCATCATCCTGTTAAAGATGAGAGTGACAGCTTGACTTGCATAACCATAGAAGAAGAAGAAGGGGCGCTGGGTGGAGTGACAGTGATGGCTGGGTTCAGTCCCAACATGGAGCTTTTTGATTATCAGTCTTTTAATGCAGAAACTCCAAAATTCTTCATTTAAAACAAGCGTAACAGTCTCATCTGTTTCCAGTAATAGAGAATACATTTCTTCACCATGGTGCAGTGATGGAGCTTATGTTGTATCTGAAATCGCTCCCTCGTTCATTAAGCCCCATGCGAGACTCAAACACAAACATTTACGGATGTGTGGAGGAGTACGACTGAATATTTTGTCGTGGACTGCACAAATATTGCACCATATAGGAAAGAGGATTTTCCAGAGAGGTCGGATAATCGTCCTCTACCTGTTTTTATGCTTATTTTAGGTTTGTAAGTAGAAATGCTTGATAAATCATAGGAAGTTCAAATATAGCAAATCAATACATAAAAAAACCATCTCCTCATTTTTATGAAGCAGTTGTGGATATAAATGCTCGTGAATTAGCTGAGGATGAGAATGAGTGTGTAAAGTGGATGTTTTTTGGAGGGAGTTCTTTAAAACAAAGCTGAGCGACACCAGGAAACATCCAGTGGCTTCCTGATACTTGACATGTTCGACCTCACTGACACTTCTTACCCTTAAAAGAACAAGTCTTCCTAACATTGTGGGAAATCCTGTGTTCTCAGTTTCAAGTCCTCAAACTGTCAGCGACCATAACACAGCCAGTTTCATTTGCTTCCATTTTATTTTTGAACTCTCAGGTCGTTTCCGTCAGATCGAGGTCTTAACCACCGTAGCTAACGAGTTCTTCCAGCTCTACAGTCAGGTCTCCGGTCAACCTGTCCAACGCATCAACTCCAGGGACCAAGGTAAACACAGCTGCTACTGTCAATTCTCAAACTGGGAATTTATTATTTGTGTGACTTAGTGGACAAAGCTCATACTTCAAATTTGTCCTATTTTACAGTTAATATAAATGTTATTTTCTGATCTGTTCTTCCTGCGTCTCTCCCAGGAGGAGGAGGAGATGGAGGAGCAGGTGAAGAGCCGACTCCTCCTTTGAAGAGGAGCAACTCGGCTCTGAACGTCGCCAAACTCCTCAAGAAGACCATCAGCAAACATAACCTGCTCGCGGCCGCCTCGGAGTCGCCTGAAGCACAAACACCTAAACAACACACGCGGCTGAACGGACACAACCCGTCCAATCACACGCACACCAACGGTCACGCACAAGCTGGTCCGGAGCAGGACTGTCCCAGGACCAGTCCTGACCAACAGGTGGAGACAGTCAGTCAGAAACAACAAGAAAGTCCACAGAAACAGCCGTCTTCCCGCAAGAAGGACAGCTGTCCCCTGGCGACTGTTACCGAGGAAACCAACGGGGATGCCGAGACAGATTCGCTGACGGACAACAGGTACTGCTGGACGCACTGGTAATGGTAGCTAATGTTAATTAGCTTATATTTTAAAAAAATGCTTTGCTGACTAACAATCGACTTTCCCGTCAGTCCTGAAAAGAGCGGCGCTGGATCACCAGCCAATGGAGACCATCAACCAGAGTCGGCGGTTCTTCAGTCAGCCAATCAGAGAATAGAGGAGGGCCCTCAGGTGGTCAAAGAGGAGAAGAGCCTGACCTCAACCCCGGTGAAAACTCCTCACAGCCTGGTCCCACCTCAGCTGGCTCAGCTTCGCACTGAAAACGCAGACTCCTTCGATATGGAAGAGGTACAGAGTTTTGAGTGGTTGTTCTTTTGGGTTCGTTGTACTTTAATTTGGTAATATTTGGGTTCTCCATCCTCCTCCAACACAGAGATGTAGTCGTCTGAAGCGTTCTGACATGTTGTTTAAATCTGCTTCTATGCAGAAGAGTAGTGACATTCTCACAGTCCTACAGTAACAAGAGGTGTTTGAGTTTGTTCTTTGTGCATTCAGGTTTGAAATTTAAACTCCAAGTAGAAAACCTTGTACTGAAAATAACCTGAATGACATTACTCAGCATCTCTTCGTTTTAAAATTCCGTCTGTTGTCTGTTTGTTCAGATCCAGAGTAACGAGGATGAGGGTCCTCCATCCAGAACCTCCAGATCCACGAGTGAGTTTACCGTAACCTCCGATTTCAACCCCGAAGTTTTGAATCCAGCTTCGTCTACATCTTTACTTTTTGTCTTCTTCTTCCTTAACTTTGTTGTGGAATTGCTGTGTGTGTTGTTGCATCAGCACCACCTGTAAACCAGAGGGGTAGTGTGAAACCACTGAGAGAAATATGTGCATTTGAGAAGGGGCCCAATTTTGGATCGAGTGGAGACCAGCCCAAGGTCCACAGACTCCAAGAGGGCCCCGATCCCCCAGACTTACTCCATGTCAGTTGGCTCATGTCACGGCCGTTCTGTCCTGGCTGCAACATTTTAAATCAACTGCATTTCTTACAGATTTTTTTTTAATCTTTGTATAAAAAGGGAAAATAAATTTTTATGAGTTAAAGTAGCTGAGAATATCGTGTTTTTTTAAAATTACGTTACTTAATTGATTTAGCAAATCAAATTCGGCCCTGAGTCTAAAATCAGTCAGATATTCTTAAACCAGATTTAAATGCTGTAGCTTCTGTCTTTTGATTTCATACATATGATCTAGTGAATATGTTTGTGCATGTCCTGTCTCATTATGATCTGCGTGAATCAGTCTGCTCATCCATCTGCTGGACAGATGAGATACTGCAGGGCTAATCATTATGTTTTTGAATGTCTCTCTTAGATCTGTTGAGGACAGTCAGTCAGCAGTCGGACAGCAGTGGTTTTGCTGAGGAGCCCTCCGCCGACTCCAACAGCTACCTCAAGGTATGTGTGTTGTATTAGACGCTTCCATGATGTTTAATTAAAGCTTTCACCACTTCTACGACGACTGATTAATGGATGATTCATTTTAATCAGGTGCAGGAAAGTAGTGACAGCTGTGACAGCGAGACCACGGTGACATCGCACCCGTCCCAAGATGTGGCCACGCCCCTCGCACTAGACCACCCTGCGTTCGATTTGCCGGAAGCCAGAGAGGAGGAGTCAGCTCCCGGTGATGCTGGGGAGGCTGATGGGAGGAGTAGCTCCAGGGAAGAAGACGGGCATGATGGTATTTCAGAGGAGGTTCCACAGTATACAGCTCACTATTTCACTAGGGACACAGCGGGAACGCAGCCGGTTGAGACCCAAGGGGAGGAGGAGGAGAAGGAGGAGGAGGAGGAGGAGGAGCAGGAGGAGGAGCAGGAGGAGAAGGAGAAGGAGTTAGCACTACCTGAGGGAGGGGACGGAACTAATCTAGAGGCGGAACCAAAACTGAAACTGGAACCAGAGGCTCCCCATAGCTTGTCTACTGCAGAACAAGAACCACAACTCATGCAGAATCAGCCCGAGACAGCCACAGACACAGAGCCACCGACAGAGGAAGTAGAAACTGTGGACGTGGCCCTTTCTGATGCATATCTTCCTCCTACTCCATTCTCTCCGGTTGTAAATGCTCTGATCCGAGCCAAACACAACCACCTGAGAGGAGCTGGGCCGCACGTGGACCCCATGCCGAGTGAGCCGCCGCTAACCCCAGGGAGAGGTAGAGGAAGGCGTGGCTTGCAGAGGTCCCCCATGCAGAGGTCCTCCTCTCTGCCCTCCTCGCTCCTCTCCCCCTCCAGGGTTGTGTCCTCTGTCCGGATCCAGTTTGGGCAAGGCCAGGCGTCCTGCACCCAGCCCAGGTACTCCTTCAAATACACCCCGGAGGAGGGAGAGGACAAAGAATGGGATGAGGAGGAGGTGGACGGACAAACTAACTGTTTATCTACTCTGATAATAAACCCTCCATCGAACCAGCCACCAAGGCTTCCCACAGATGCTCCCATCCCACCGAAACCCATCCCAAACTACCTGATGAGGTCGCCCTGCTCCCTGAGGAGCTCCAGCCCTCCTCCTGATTGGTCACCAGGAGGCCACACCCACTCCTGGAGCTCCCAGAGCATCCCTGACCTCTCCTCTAACCAGCAGCTGCCAGGTCACTTCCAACAAAACCAGCAAAGTTGGAATCCAGGACAGATGATGTCGGGTTATCCTAATCCCACAGCCCAATTCACAAACCCTAGTCCAAATCCTAGTCCATGTCTTAATCACAACCCATTGCCCTTCACTATGAACTCTCCTCCAGAGTACCCCTCCCCTCTCTATCCATACGCCAGTCTTCCCAACCTCCATTACCACCACAATCAACCCTTGAACCCCCATTCCAGTCTGACCGGTCTCCACCAGCCTACAACTCCCACAATCCCCCCTTTTGGCAGCATCTCCAATTTGCATCAGCCGTCTACTTCCATAGATCCTCATTACGTCAGTATGGGTAACCTGCATCCCAGAACTCCCTTCATGCACCACCAGGGCTGCAACCATCCATACGGCCATCAGTCACCTTATCATGCCGCTCCTCACGGCTCACAGTTTTCCTCGCCTTACCCAGGTTACCATGGCTACAGCACAAACCCACACATGGAATTCTCTCACCCCGTCCCTCAGTGTCGTCCAGAGCACGGCCTCAACCCGGGTTTTGCTCCTCCTGCTCGAGGCTTCCTCCCAGACCTGGCCTCCCCCTTCGGCCAGGGCCACAGCGTCTACACAGGGCTCCATCCTCCAGGTCCTGGACACAGCCAGGGTCCATCCAGCACCGAGATGCAGCTGAGGAGAGTTCTGCATGATATCAGAGGGACAGTTCAGAATCTGAGCCAGGTTAGTCCGTCCCAACCCCTGTCTTTCAAGCTCTTGTTACTTAGGACTGTTGTGTGTGGTTTCAATCCACCTGGTGAGAACTCCTGCTTGTTCATTTATCATCTTGTTGTGTTCATCTTCCTTCTGTGACGTCACTATCCTCTCCACGCAGAACCGAGCCAACACTCCAGACACGTTCAGTGATCACACCACAGCTCTACCCAGCCACCAGGTACCGTCATTCCTCGACACCCCGGCCATTTACATCAGTTGCCCTCCTCTTGTTTTCATGTATGCTGTTTAAGACCAAAAATCAAGTTCCCTCCAGGAAACTAAAGCACATGTCAGGACCCTGTGCTCCATATTGACATACATACCACATTTCTGTGTTCATAGTTATATGATAAATAAACAGTGAAGATTTGCATAACCTCAAATGTACATACAGTTAGACTGTTTCCATGCTGGAGGCAACAGAGTGAACTGTCCTCGTCGTTATCAATAAACTCAGTTTCACTTTATTCCCCCCCCCTTCAGTCGTTGACAGAGTTTCAGCAGAAGAGGCGGAGTCTGAACTTGTTCCGCAGTCAGATGATGGATCTGGAGCTGTCAATCATGCGACAGCAAGCTATGGTCTACAAACACCTGAGCCCCTCTGACAGGTGACTCACAACAACTAACTGTGTGTTTCACACTTTTCTGAAGTGTGTGTATTGTATATGTGATAATGTGTGTGTCTGTGTGTGTGTGTGTCTGTGTATGTGTATGTGTGTGTGTGTGTGTGTGTGTGTAGGTTGGAGGTAGAGCAGCTTCAGTCTCTGAGATCAGCAGTCAGAGAGGAACTGCAGGAGTTGGAACAACAGCTGGAAGACAGACTGGCACAACAAAGGGTATATACATAT